TACACTGCTGAAGGGAGCAGCGGGCTAGACAGAGAGATCTGCGGTGCCATGTGGGTCCGAACTCACAGAATATACGGGAATGCTGTCACCCCTCTCGCTCTGAAGCACCCATTGTGCCACCAGGGAGGGCCCTCTGGTTTTTATTTCTTTGATAGGGTCTTTGTGCCCTTCTTTCTCATGTCACCTTCTGAAATAACATTATTCTATGTTTCATCGTTTCATTGAGTCTTACATTTCTTGTATAGTTTCTTCATTTTCCCTAGATCTTGTTCCTTCCTCTTTTACAGTTTGGGGATTTGTACATTTGAGAGTTCTATTCCTGAAATTTTCTCTCTGCCAGCTTAATTCTATTTAAGACACTTTCTATACTGGTCCTCATTTCATTCAGTCTCTGTGTGTTCTCTTCAGTCACTTTAGTGAAAAATTCTTTTTGTCAGATCTTTCTAAGCTCCTGTACCTGCCTTTTAGCATTTGACTGACCTTCTAGTACTTCATTTAGCAATAAAATTTTTTAGAAGGTCCTTTATTTCTATACCCTTTCTTTCTATAAGCCTTAGACCACTATTCTCCTTCTGCTTTTCCATCTTGTGTTCAGATGTTCCTCGCTTCCTAGGCGTGTGTGTTCCCCTTTTTGCTCTTTTGCAGTTTGGAATGCTTAGGTTTGTGTTGATTCTCTTCTTTGTTTACTTTGGCATGAGGTGAGGGGAGAGGTTTGCACTGCAATACTCAGTCTCAGTTTTGGTCAGGGGTGAAGTGTAGCTTCAGGCCAATAGACTATTGCTGCCTCTTCTCTTTCCAAAGCAAGCTCCCAACAGGCTTCAGGGATTCTAAATTCTTGCCCCACCTCCTTTCTGTTTCATTCTGTGACAGGCCATGTGCCACCAAGCTTGAGTCACTTGACAAGGGAGGTTAGGAGTGGTCCACAGGGTACAAACTGTGGAACTCGGCTGGCCTTGCAAAGCCACGCAGGGAGTGCCCCTCCAGGCTGCATGCTCTGTGATGCCCAGCACTGGCTGGCACTGGACTGGTGCACCAGCCAAGGGTCAATAGGCTGCCATGACGCGCTCACTTGGATCTTTCCAAGGAGAGGGGTGATAGCATTCCTGTATATTTTGTCCATTGCCAATTTCCCCACAACTTAAACCATATGGTTTGACCTGGAGTCTGTTTGTTCTCTTTCCACTGTGGGGTGGGGAGGATGGGAAGGTTTTCATTGCCTACACTGGCCAAGCAACTCCAATCCACCAGGCCAGCCCTATGCATGTGTGCATTCCCTTTCTGAAAAGTACCTCCCTGTCCCAGGAAGCAGGGTATCTGCTGCCCTCACCATGACACCCTTCACGTCCTCCCTCTCCACCCCACAGCAGGTCACCAACCTCAGGTAAAAAAAACACTGGTGGCAATTCTGTGTGTGTGTGTGTGTGTGTATATATATATATACACACACACACACACACACACACACACAAATGGAGGATTTTTAAAATTGAGATAAAATTGCTTTGCAACACTGCATGTGACGCTGTTGTCTGGGAACACACCTTTTCAGATGTTCCCAAACCATACCCACCACCAAGACATGCACAATCTCCACCATAGTCCACTGAGCAACCCCCATATTTTTCCAGAGGGAGATTTTTTTTTCCTTAAAGGCTTATTTATTTATGCATACAGAACTGGGATACAGGTCACAGGTATAGGGGCTGTGAGAGGATTCACCAGAGACAGAGTGGGGAGCAGAAGAGGCAGATCAATGAAGTACACTGATGAGGGGAGCAGCAGTCAGGGGAGGTCTGCTGCGCCATGTGGTCACCTCCCAGGCTGGGATCAAACTCATGCTGAAGTGGCTTTAGCTTCTTAGTGCTGTGCTTTAACCCACTGCGCCACCAGGGAGGGCCCCAGATGGAGGTTTTTTAGGGAAGATGGAGCACGCAGGCCTCTTATCTTGCAGAGCACAGCAGCCACAACTGGGCTAGAGACTGGCTCACATTCTCGCCTTTGTTTTTGGTTAGTAGCTATTCGTTTATAGCTCTTTCTCTTCTTGTTCCAGCTCTTCCTACCTTTCATGTCTCACCTGTACAGAGCTGGTGCTCAGTGAATGCATGTTGCGTGAATGCACCATCATCAGTAGTGCAGTGCCCACCCTTGCCCTAGCTTTCACGCCCTCCATTGAGCAGTGAGGGGGCTGGGCTGCATAGTCTCTGGAGGCCATTAGTTCTCATGTACTTGGAAATGTTCCACTGAAATTGAGTTTGTTGCTCACCAGTAACCTTCCCATGCCTACGCTCAGGCATTCCTGACTCATCTCATGCACTCTTCAGGCAGTGCTGCTTTTCTTGTTTTTTTGGGATCACTTCAAAGCCACTCCTTTTCATCCGGTTATCTTTTGGTTGGAAATGTCATTAGTGTACATGTGTATTTGTTAGTATTTAGATTGGAGTCAAGCAATTGCTTATTGTTCCTGGTGATAAAATGTCAAATATCACATTCTATTATCAGGAGTATAACTACAAGCATGCAGTTCTCAAGTATTATTCAGATGGCCTCACTAACTGTAATTGTAGGTCACAAGAGCCCTCTCCACACTTTGATAATTAGGGCCACATCTGTGATGCCCACAGAAAGCAAAAGAAAATGAGTAGGAGTAACTGTCCTCTAACTGCCTCTAGCTTATGTTCACTCACTACCTTTTCAATTTTTCATGTAGACATGGGGTTTTAAAAATAATTAGCCTGTAATGAGTTAAGGAATTGATCCTTAGAAAATGAGTAACTCAAGTGTAGAGAATTGGATTGTTTGAACCACATTATTTTGGTCTCATAGAAAGGCTATCTGTTCTGTGATGGTTAATTTTATGTGTCAAGTTAATTAATGCCCAGAAAGCTGGCAAAACATTATTTCTGGAAAAGATTAGCATTTTATTCAGTAGACAAAAAAGATAAAACACACTTTCACCAAAATAGACAGCATCATCCAATCCATGGGGCTGGGGGTGGATGGCAAAGGAAATGGAAATTTCTACTTCCTACCTACTTGCCTCCCCTCCCTTCTACCCACACCCCTCTTCCCTTCTTGGGCTTTTGGAATCACATTGCTTTGCACCACTGGCTTTCAGCCTTCATAACAAGATAAGCCACTTCTTATGATAAATTATTTTCTTACCTATTGATCTATCTATCTATATCTCTCTATATCTATATCTATATACATACTCTATATACACCTCTATATCTATATCTCTCTATCTGTATCTACATACATACTCTATATACACCTCTGTCTGTCCCTTTATAGTTCTGGTTCTCTGGAGAATCCTGATTAGTTAGGAATGCTTTCATATTTTAGCCACAGAGCCAAGGACAGAGTCTACTACACCATGCCAGGACGGACAGTACTGTTCCCTTTCCTGTCTTATTACATTTCTAATTTCCATCCAGCTTACATTTTAGACTTCCCCAAGGAACCCTCTTCCTTTATTCTCTTTCTTGATGACCTCATCCATTTGCATGACTTTTATTGAGAAGGTAATTATTCCTAAATTTTTAATTACCAGCCACAACTTCACCTCTGAACTCCAAACACCATTATCTGTCAACCTGACTAACATTTTTTAAAACTATATGTCTAACAGACATCTCAAACTTGAAGTTGAGTGAATGCACCATCATCAGTAGTGCACTCCCCACCCCCCTACCTTCTTGACCCCCACCTCCCCTGCTGGCCTCACCCTTTCACTCCCTCAGTTGAGTAGTGAGGCCATTCGTTCTCTCCCCAATTGGTTTTGTTCCCCAAACTTGTTTTTCACCAGTTCACCTGGAGAAACTATGGGCACCATCCATAGTTTGAACTAGAAATCTGAGAAACATCTCATATCCATTCTCTCCCTCTCCCTCACATCTTCCCATGTCTATTGATATTTTGTCACCGACCCTTGTCTATCTCCACTGCCGCTACTCCAGCCCAAATTAGTCTCATAAGAACAGCCTAACTGAACTCCATCTCCAGCTTTATCTACTTCAGACCTAGTGGACCCTCCTTCCTTCCATTTCCAATACTGAGTTGTACGCCAGTTACCAACTGAGCGTGAAGCGAATTTCAGGGAACAGCTGATAAACATTCACCGGACTCTAGGCTTGCAGATCGTTATTCAGTAGATCTGTCACAGATCCTGGGAACATGCATTTTTAACAGATCCTGCTCGAAGTCAAACAGCAAGGATTCAGGTGTCCGCTTTACTGCTTAACGGGATAGCGCGTCCTGCATCGCTATAACGCCCTTCACAGGGTTGCTGCCAGCTTTCAGGCAGTTCCTGCGTGGCATGTCCTCAGCTCTGGGACTGCACAAAAGGAGTCTTGAATCATCACTGGGTGTCAATTTGAAAACTCTTCAGAAAGAACCCAGAGAAGGGCCTGACAAGAAGGTCTGCTGGAGACTGGCTGGGGACAAAGGAATCAGAGCTAGGGGAGGGGGAAGAGACTGAGCAAAAGCGCGCGTGGGCGCCATGTGGGTGTGCCCGTAGGGCTGGGGCTCGGGTGCGGCTGGTGGGCGTGGCCGGAGGGCGACCTGGGGTGCGGCCTCAACACTGGGCAGGCGAGGGGGCGGGGGCGGGAGCCTGGCTTCTGGG